TGAAAAATGTAATGAATTCTCCTCCATCATTTCGATATCAGTATACCCATTCATTGCGTTCAATAATATTTGTTCAAAGTGATTCTGCAATTGTATTTCAGCATCATTTACAGGTGTCTCCATAATTTTCATGGTTTGAAATGTTGTTAAAAGTAACCGAATAATTAAGAAGGTTAACTTTCATTATCAACAATTAAGTGTTACACAATTTTTAGAATAAAAGATAACAATATTTCTATTCCGAGCACACGATTTTATACACATATAGAATAATGACTATTCATCAAAATTAATATGAATGCAAGATGCAAAAATATCTATTCACTACAGTATTAAGAAAAAGCGAAAAAAAATGTTACAATTTTTAAATGATTAAAATATGTCACATTCGTTCAAAATATTAGCATTGAATAATCCGCATATTACAATTAAAGAAATAATTTTCCTCAAAAATAGTTTATCAGTAACTGTGATAAGAATTATATGTATGATTGCCCACATGATAATAAAAAATAATATTTGACTAATTATAAACTATTCAGTCTCTAATTACGATGTATTTTATTCGGTGATTATTGTGACTATAAATAATTAATCAATCACAATTGGAAATTTTTAAATTGTGATTTTGTTTACTGTCGTTAATGTTATTTCAATAATTGTAAAGACACGCATCTTGTAGTTTTTTATACTCTTTCAATGAAAATTGGTTCCATCAAAGAATAATTTTTAGTTTTTGAGTTATAAATTTTGTTGTTATTTTTGATAAAAAAAAAATGTATATCCGTAACTTTCATAAATATGTAAAGGTATTTTTTATCATTTTTGTGTTGTTTTTAACGTGTAAGGTCGTTTGGGAAAATTTCGATTAGAAATATGTGAAAATTAAAAATCACCTTTATAGGGTGTCAACTCTGGGGGTGATTTTTACCCCTTCAAAACGTTTTTCGTTTTTGGTTCATCATTTTCGACGTAGATTATTCTGTAGAAACCTCAGCTAAATCGACGATGACCACCACGCGAGGTTTCCTCGTAAAGTATTATTTATCAACAATTAGTATACACAAAACTGTTTTATACGAGAAATTAATTATTATTTCTCTGGAAATAAGTAGGATATTCGACTGTGATAATAAACAGTTTAGATAGGATCTTTTTATTTTTTTTTCATGGTTCTTTTGTTTATTTTTCGTTTATGGAACGTTCAAAACTTTGATATAAGCGATAACTTCCTAATAGGAAGTTAATAAAATCCTCTGACATGAATAGGCATTTTCCTTATTCTGTAGTAGTGAAACAAAAATTTTCCGCGCCCACACTAATTGCAGGAGTACGACTAATATCTATAATCATGTTCAAGAATGTTTTTCCTAGAACTGTACTTGTCGTAGAACATCCTAGAAATGTACTTGTCAGAACTCATACTAGAATAAATCTTATCAGAATAATAAACAAAAGAAGAAAACGATAATCATGATACAAAGAATTTTATTTACCTTTGACACGATCAGAATTTTCTAGTTATAGTTGTTATATGCTTAGTCAATACATGACTTCAGAAAAGCAATCCAATTGATTACTAATGTTGTTTTCGTTAATTCCATTCCATCACCATTTGTATGCAGTTCCTCCCTCATGATAGTTGATTAATACAACGAAAAGTCATTGATCCAGTAATATCAATTGTGACTGCACTTAGGTTGTCACAATAAATTAGACCATCTAATAATTGGGATAGTCCTCATTCGCTGAGAAGGCCATATAAATACATGGACTCTTTCATCGCTTCGGTGAGAGCTCTAAATTCAGCTTTGGTCATTGATAGTGAGACTACTCGCTGCTTCTTTGACTTCCAGCTAACCACCGCTCCTCCGAGGTTGAATGCATACCCTGCGTATGCTCGTGAATCATCTTCATCGCTTTTCCAGCTTGAGTCCGCGTAGCCAATTAGTTTATCAATTTTTCTGTTGTATACTAGTCCCTTGTTGGGAGTTCTTCGTAAGTTTCTTCGGGTCAGTCGCTGCCTTCAACTTGGATGATAGGCTCGCAGGTATGCGCTGTGGGGTGCAGCTACTCATTCGAAATTTTGCTAGCACTTCTTCCACATATTTTCGTTGGGTTAGACCTATTCGCCCGGCCTACAGCTCCAACTTGATTCCTCAGCAGTATTCAGCCTCTCCGAGGTCCTTTACTTTTAGTTCTCATTTAATCGCTTATTTGAATTATTATAGTAATTCTAGATCGTTCGACGTCATCAAACCGTCGTCTTCATCAATAGATATGGGTCGGAGATCGTCGTTTCCAATCCTAAATTGGTCAGTATTTTGCAATTTGTTGTACCACATTTTGCCTGAATGTTTCAATTCGTACAACGATTTTAGGAGTTTGCATACTTGATCTCCTTTCTTTAGACTTTTTAGCATTCTTACCGCTTATACTTATATCGCTGAGTTTTGTCATTCACTTTGAATAATTTCTTTGAGAATTTTCTTTAGGTTCGTTGGAATCTCTACGTATAATTCTTTGTCGAGTTCCGCATTCAGATATGCCGTAACTACGACCCTTTTGATAGATGCTTGATTTCATACCAGCTACTGGTGATGCTAGTAGTCGAATCGATTCTGGTCTAGCTACTGGAGCAAATGTTTCGTTGTAATCCGATTTTGGCCCCTGAGTAAATCCTCTGGCCACTTTTTTCGCTTCTTTGCGTTTAATCATTCAATCGACAGTTAACTTGTTTTTCAATATTACTTTGGACACTATTATATTTTTGTTTTCAAGTCTTTTACAATTTCTCAGGTGCCATGTTCTAAATGTGAACGAACTTCTTCGATGAGAGCAAATTTCCATTCCATTGATTCCGCTCTGTTGATCTTCGCATCTTCGAAGTCGATGTCAGCCATCATTGCCATCTCTTCGACGAATTGAGTTTCCATAATCTCTCGTTCATTGTCTTCTTCGGCTTCTCGGTAATCTGGCGATTTTTCTGGATCTCTCTTATTCGTATCCTTGGTCTTTTATCTTCCGGGAATAAAGATGTTTTGAGTTCTTGTTTCTTACCGTGGCTTTCTTCGTCTGTTGCTTGTTCAAACACGTTGTCTTCTTCGTCGTTTCTCTCAAGCTCCGGTGCTCCATCTTCAGATAAATTTTTGTATTTCTTGAATGCTTGAAATACCTGGTCTTTGCTCTTCAACAAGTACAGCCCACACTAGCCGTTACAGTCATCTATAAATGTAACGAATTGCCTATTTCTGCCCTCCGATTTCGTACTTGACAGTCGGCATAAATGTGAGTATACAATTTTGAGCTCCTTTCTGTTCTCGGCGTAAACGGCTTCGATGTCATCTTTCCTCGATGACAGACGTCGCATGGCGTCTTTGCTTGCTGACTGGATTCCCGTAGGTGATACAGGTCTTCTACTCGATCTGCTATCATTCTCGTCTCACCATTTAGGTCTTTGATGATGACATCATCTCTCCTAAATAAGATCTCTCTATCTATCATTTCGAGTGATTTTGGACACAGAAATCAAAGTAGTGCGAAGATCCTTGATTAGTAGTATACTACTCAAGTTTAACGTTACCTGACATTCATCCATCTCATTGGTGATGTTTGCTGTCAGATAACATATGTCAGTCAACAGCCTCTTGCTGGAATACATATTTGACGTACATCCGCTGTACAAGCACCATCTTGTCGTCGACGTCACGTTCCTCACTTCCTCGGGTTGCGATACCTCTATGTAGTGATTCTCTACTCGCTCGACCTCTTTCGCCGAGTTTCTGTCTCGATCTGGACATATTCCTGCCCAATTCCCCGCCTTACCGCATATAAAACATGGTTACTTTTCTTTTGTTTTATATATACCATGTCGGTGACTGGGTGATCAACTGCCGACATATAGAGCATTATTACTTCCAATGTCCATTTTCGTTAAATTTCGGCTTCTCTTTTCGTCTAGAATTTTACTAATCAGTGTGTCTGTATTGGTTAGTTCGTCTTTGAACCTGAATGTACAGCGATAGTTCTCAAAGCTTGGAGGTAATCCCTTGAGAATGAATACTACCAGTATATTATTAGGTATATCCATTTTCATACCCTCTAATTATTCGACGGCACTCATAAAGCTGTCCAGGCGTTCTCGAAAGTCGTCGTCTTCGTCGATCTTGAATGATGTGATGTCTGTCAGCAGTTCTATCGTTCTGACTTGACCTTCGATGCGTGTATTGTCTGCAGCTTATTCAAAACTTCCTTAGATGTCTCACATTTGAACACTGTCTTGAGCTCGGCGTTTCCAATGGATGGCAAGATGTCTGCTTTTGCCTTTTCGTCATCTTTTCTCCACGTAGATACCTCACGATTTGTTGCACCATCGGGCATTTGAATTTCACCTCTATCATAATCCCATCGATCATGTTCCACCAGGATTGATTTCATTCGTATCTGTTAAACGTCGTAAACACTTACTCGTGACTTATTCGCCACTGGACCCATAAACTGTGAGAGTTGAGCCGAGGTGATATGCTATTGAATAGTAAGAAGTCAATAACTATTTTAACTGTGCACTTTTCTTGTGTCACGATACACACTGCTTTATTTCTATAAAGTATATAGGTTCGCTTTTGGTGGTGTGCGTAGTATTATGTCTCACAGCCATAAAAAATTTCTACTATATTTAACTACTAATTCAAGCTGACAGAACTTCGGGAAAATTCCAAGAATGGGGAAAAAATGTTGCAAGACTTTTGATATGACGCAATAATTATAAATTTTTTAGCATAATTTCTTGAAACTGCATTTGTTATGACTCATTTTGTGTTATGTCATTTCTCTATATGTTCAAACTAAAGTATGTTTAGTTTTTATCATACTTTGAAAAGGAGAAGTAAAAACCTATTTTATATCAATAGTATATTTTTGATGAGAACAAAAAATTTATAGAGAAACAGTTATCAACACAAATCTTATGTTGGTAATTGTGTAATTATTATATTTTTCAGATCATCATGGAATAAGTAATGCTGGAGACAACAGAGATGGACATCATGTTTTTCTAGAACGGCCACGATCGTCTTGTGAAATGCAACGAGTACCAGGCATTCAGTAAGTAAAGTTTTACATAGTCTCATTTTTAGCTTGCTTCCAAATATTAAAAATTTGAAAAGATACAGCAACCATGTTTTTAAAGTTTTGTAAAATACGTTGTTAGAGCTTTAATTTGTACTTTATAAGTTCACAATTTTCCAGCGTAATAGTAACTCAGCTTGTATAACATGAAACAAAATTGATTTTCTTATCATTCACCATTATATATGAGCTACGTGATGTATTTAAACTATATGCGTCTATCGTTTCGGTTAATAATTTTTCTCTCATGGTATTGATGAGATATAAGCTCAATTCTTGTTAGACTTAAATTCACATAAGTAAAATTATTTTATGGCAGATTGGCCAATTTAAATGTTCAATTGACTATTAATAGAAGTATTGAAAGAGTATCGGCAACCTTCCTTTAACATTTTCAAGTCATTCATTTAGGATGGGCGATGTTGAGCAAAAACATCGATATATGACCATCGATTTTTCAATATTATTACATGAATTTTTCGATATTTTCTGAAAAAAACATCGATACATCGATGTTCTTGTGAATAGCGAGATACTTTAAATTACAAAAATTTTAATATAGATGTAATTAAAAAAAAAATTGACTAATGAAAAAATAAGAATATTGAAAATATTAATTTTATTGATTTTACCTATAATTTACATAAATTATTACTTTTACGTAATATTTTTTTTTTATAAATTTACAAATTGTTGATGCTCCTATCGTCTCACTGGAAACATTTAGAAGAATTAATTGGTGCGTTTCATACGATTTATTATAATATCAAATAAATTTAATTGAAATATGTTTTGAAAATACATACAAATGCACGGCATCAATACTTATGTGTATCTTCCTGACAGGTTCTTGAGGTTTAGGAATATGACCCATCGCAATGAAGTTAATTGAAGCTCTATCTTTTGCCTAATGACTGTAAAAAAGCAATAAAAATAAATAGTGATCAAATCGCTGGCGCACCTGAGTTAGTAGACATTGTTTTACGCTAAATCGAATTATTAACTTCCCAGTGGGAAGTTATAGTAATGGGCCTGATTTTGCGAGTCCCGAATTTTTTGATATCTCTACGTTTTAAGGTCCTCAGAGTCGAATACGATCTTTTCCCCGTAGACGTCTGTGTGTGTATGTATGTATGTTCGTACGTTCGTTCGGAATTTTTCTGGTCGATTATCTTGAGAACAAAAAATGATATCGACATGGGACTAGTTGCATTCGACGCATAATTACGTAACTTAGAACTGATTGGATTGTTAGCAAAATCGGTCCAGCCATTTTTTTTACAGAACCAAAAACCTAGCGAAGGTGGAAAACGACCTGAATTTTGCAATTCATAAATTACACCATTTTTTAGAAAAAATTTCAAGATCTTTTAAAAAATATAAATATTAAATGATTAGAATACTTGTATGAAAATATGACAATATTTCATCGAAAAAAAATTTTTTTTAAAAACAAAATTAGCAATGAAAGAATTTTAAACTCGTGTCAGGATTTCGAAAATAGCATTAAAGACGCTATAATAGAGATGCGAGCATGACCAAATTGGTCATTTATGATCGTCATGTCACGGTCATAAGACCGTTAGCTGACCATCACTGAAATGACCGACCACCAGGTTAGTCGCGACATCTAATGGATAATTGTATGACACTCTAGTAGCATTTATTCATTTATTATATTTTGAATTGTAACGTAACATAACGCAAGGTATGTAAATAAAATAATATTAGAGATTTAATATATCAATAAGCTTAAAAAATAGATGTTTCATTATAAATTATTCTAAAACTATTGGTATTAAATATAAATAAGTTGATTTTCTTATTTCTCAGTCAAATCGTTTTTTCGAAGATATTCTTTTATATTGTTATATTCTTCAATAGCATTTACTTGTTGAACGTGATCAAAAGAACCAAGTGCTTTTATTCCTTTTTCGTATTGAGATTCTGAGTTTTGTAATTTTCCAGCTCCGTCATCAGCTGGATCAAGCAGAAATGAAACCTGTTGTTCTTCATACATTTTTTTACAGTTATCACAAGTACAAAGCAATGATCTCCATCCTTCGGACCAGAAACAAGAACCAGTACATTGTTCAGAAGGTTTTGCAAGTTTAGTACATCTTGTCTTATACCATCAAGCTAGATGCTGATAACCAAATTTGTGACCAAAAAATTTCTGACTGTAAATTGGCATTTCAAAAACGGCGGTCATTTGAGACAGTCAGTCACATGACGGTCGTATGACTGCTCTGTGACCATAATCATAAATGACGGTCATCCTGCATCTCTACGCTATAATAGTCAGTAATAATTGTTAATAGTATGGAATTATGTCCATAACAATTGAACATTGTTACTAACAAATGATTATTGATCATGGTAATAATTAAATAAAAAATTTGAAATTGTCATAAACAATAAAAATAGAGATCCATGCTATACATTTTAATACTTCTAACGCATAATTTGTTCTTTTACTAAAGAAAAGTTACCGAAAGTATGACATAAATGGACACTCTGTCTTTCTGTTTATATTAATTGAATCTGTTATAAACAATTGGAAACGGGTTCTATTTGAGATATTCAAGTCTATCCAACGGAGATTTTTTGTTCCATTTAAGCAAAGGTACTGACTAGATTAGTTAGTAGTACTATCAATGAACAATAATTACATTGTACAAATCGTAGTCACTTAAACTGAATGGATGTCACTTATAAGTTACTGAATAATAACAGAATGTTAATTAAGAATCACTGAATGATAATTGAATATCTAAAAAATTGGCTTAACTTGGTGTGTTCAGTATTATTGATCTCCCACACGAGCTTAACACGCTTCTCAAGTCAAGCAAGATTATGATTGTGCACGTGGCGTTAGCCTATCATGCAATGCAAAATGAATTTGATTACTTGAATTTACTAAGAATCGTCTAGAATTATTACTTGATTTCTTTTTTGGATGGATAACTGAATGATTTCTGTCATTTTGAATGTCACAAACTACACAGATTGTCTCAAGAAAATTAGATTTAGATTAAATGATTTAGAATGTCGTGTTAACACGGAAGAGAACGGAAAAAGAATAGTGACAAGAATTTCATTAGTCAAAGAGGACACTGAAAATTGGTCAAATGGGTGACTACATTAAAAATTATTAATTATTAGGTAGATTGGTTATCAACCTAGTCCGAAGATGGCCGCCAAAGTTCCTGTCAGCTGGAAATTCAAACTTGAGAATTAATTAATTTTCAACACATCCTATATTTTAATTTTTTTTTTTAACCTTATCGAAGCCTTATTTTTTCAATTAATATTATTTATAAATTATATGAATTTCAAACCCAGCACTTTTATATAATAACAAGTGCTCTTCTTGATTGCATTATTTAAAAATTCATAAATTCGTTAATCTCTACGAGAAACCCCCATCAACAAATTTTTTCAACTCTTTTAAAATTAATGAATAGGGAATTCACACTGCTCTTGGACTACAAGAGATCGTTGGTACAGCTTCAGCGTGATCATGCCCTGAGACTTTGCTAGAGATCCTGTAATGCATACAAAACCTACTAGTCGAAGGGGTGATGAAACGCAGAATAATTGCATCAACAATTATAATAACTTTGTTCTTTTATCGACGCGGTTAACAATAATCGGGAATTATGCTCTATTAATTTAAATAACTTTAGACTTACAAGTAGCAATATAATTACAGAATTATGGATCGTCTTGAAGAGACCAAATTATAAATAAGGGCGTAATTGAACTCTTTGCCTTTCTCCTAATTATGAAGCAACGGATAATTTTTTTTTCATAATAAGTTTTTCACGATAAAACACAGACGTACGGATTTTGAAAGAGAAGATTTATTGTATCTGGTTTATTCTCACTGTTGGAAAAGCTGTTAGTGGCCAGAAGAAAGTTGTTGAGGAAAGTACTCCGTAAGCCTGGATATCCATCCGTTAGTGGTGGAGCAGATCTATGACAGCTACATAGGCGGTCATTTGCTGACTCTAGGTCCAACGTGGGACATCACCAGTGAACTGTCTCTTCATTTCTGTCGATGGATCTTACCGTTATTGATAAGTGAGTGTAATTGAGCTGCAAAATTTTTTTTGTATAATTCATCGAGCGTCACATAGGATGATTCGGAAATGTCGTATTCAAGAATTTTGGTGACAACGTGATTTGTCGTGCCGTATCTCTAGATCTTTCTTAAGACTGAAATTTAGTATTTTCTTAGACTTATGAGTAGTCATAGTCATTCCATAGATGTTTGATTAATCCAATAAATTAAGGTCGTTGTCATTATTTTATATCCAAGAGATTCATTGTAAAATGAATTGTTATAATTTAAAAAGAAATTGTTTACGCGCTTTGTCACATCGATAATTTACAATTTATATTAATGATTGACTCATTTACTTGTGCCGTCAAGCTGCACGTGAGAATCTACAAAGAACTGTGGGTGATTGGATCGTGATTAAAGATTTTGTTATTTAGCTTTGTGTAGACAGTGAAATAAGTTTGACGTAAATTTAATTTATTGAAAATACTAAATTAATTTTTTTAACGGAGTTTGAGTGATAGAACGGAATACTAGTATCTGACCGAACCTTATCCTCTCAGTCGTTTAATCAGCAAGAAAATTAGTGTTTAGACGACGCCAAATGACTAACCTCATAATTAGAATACTCAAACACCCTCGATTGACCAGCAGAATGACGGTCAAATCAGTATCAGCCTAGTAACGGTTCCGCCCGGATCCTCGAGAGTAAATAAAACGTCCAGAGTTAAACAAGAATTCAGGGCATAAAAGGTATAAAAAAACAGGAAAGATTGAAGTTCCTGAATTATATTTTGAATGCTTGAAGAAACTTTCCTGATTCAAAGGGAAGAAATCAGAAGGGGTACTACAAGGTCATGGATCATAATCTACGAGCAGTAAGCGTAGAACTTCATATTCTACGGTATTGGAGTATTCTGTATTGTAGTCGAATGTATGTGTGTAGCGCGTGTGTGGTAGTAATAAAGAATCTTAGTGGGGCAGCCGAAGAAATCGCGAGAAATCCAGAATGCTAGTCGGTTATTGTAAGAATGTTATGTGAATATTATATATCATTTAAGTTACCTGAAGGAACTAAGGGAAACTTAATGAATTGATCAAACCTTACCTTGGAGATTGACACTAAAATATTTATTTTTCTGAAATTGAGGGGCTCCCCATTATTTCGTTAGACTGTAGATTCAAGACTACCTGGCGCTCATCAAGGGAATTTCATAGAGTTTTTGGGACTCTCACACGGGTCGCTAAGCTGGCCTACACCCGTCAGTCGAAAGTTAGCTTTGCTGAGGTGGTGTAGCGTTTCAGTAATTACCAGTAATAACCCATGAAGGTTTACGCTCCATTTTATTATTTGATATTTAATATTAAAATCTAAGTGGTTCAATGTTTAATAAATCGTTCGAGGTTATTTAAATTAAATATGATTTTGTCATTTTGGTGAGTAGAACATTATTCTCTTCCATATCTAGCGCCCGATTTTTTAATTATTTCACTTGAAATCAATTTATTTATGAATTGCACTTCAGATTTATCTAGAAATTCAATAAATTAAATTTTATTCAATCAGCGTCAAATTAAATTTATTTTTTTTATTTATCTTGAGATTCGTCGAAAAATTTTTGGAGAAAGAATTTAATTACATAAGCTCTATATTCGAGATAGTCTTTTCTCATAACCTACATGAGCTCTCTGGAGCGTTCGTGTTTACTCTCTTCTTTGGTACGTATGTTTGCTCACCCGAAGCTAAGAACTCAATGTAAAATACGTGCTATGGTTGAAAAGAGTAATATCCGTGTTATTGTGCTCGATGCGTTAAGGCGTACAAAGCGAAAAATTCCAATGAATTTTCGCTCTCCTGCTCTCAACAAGCGACTCAAATTCACCAGGTATATAAGGCAGCACTGGTGTCTCGTTGATCCCATAAGAGTGCCAAAAGTAGTAATACAGCACTCTTAAAGCGGCTTTATGCCGGTGACGAAACTCGCCTCAATTATCGAGGTTTAGCACAACAACCTCTTTCTCTCAATTTAAAGTCTAAATCAACATCAGGAGTATCAGGTTTTAAAATTAATAAAGAGAGGATAACTGTCATGACTTATTCAAATTTTTCAGCTTCATTATTGGTAAATCTGCGAAACCAAAAGCAATGAAGAATTCTTTAAACAATTCACCAGTATGCTATAAAAGGCAAAAAAGTGCTAGGATGACTAGTCCTATTTATTGATTGAGTAATGTATTTATCGCATGGATTCGGATGTTTACAACAAACATTGATTGTAACTATCTAAATTTGATATAAACAATTACTAATGGGAAGTTCGTCGTGTTAACACAGACAAAGTGGGCTCAGACCTATTTTTTATTCATTAAATGATACAATACTGTATTATTGATCATACTTGATTGTATATTTCACGTTTCATGTAAATATATTACAATATGATTGTTCTGACTTGGTCGAAGGTGTTCTGCCGACGGTCTGACATTTTTTTCCCCACCGAATAATTAGAGGACTAAATGTCTCTTCTGCCAACTCATCTACGCCAATTAAACTACTCTAATTAATTCCTAGGTGTAGATATCCCTTCTTAAAGACCTAGAAGATTCCAGAATGCAGATTTTTGGATAAAATAGTACTATTTAGTTCAGTTGTGGTCAGTATTCTTCGGTTACTACCAGTAGAGTTGTACGTAGCTCGTACTCGGACGTCTCTTAAGCATCATCGGACGATACCAACAGATAGACAACTCGGTATAACAGTCAACTCGCTACGTGTGTACTAGCAAAGAGCTCACGCAGTCGAACTCTCTAGTGAAAACCCAGCCAACTCCTTAGAATATTCCTCAGACATGGAATAATTCAACAGTCAATAATCTACAGTGATGATTGTAAACTCACCAATCAGCCTATCTCTCATTAGACATCATCAGTAAGCTCAAGTTGGTCCGAATCAGCACCTTCCTTACAAAAGGCACGAACGATGTCAGCTTCGACGCCTTACGGCCTCATGGACAGACACACACACATGATCCACACACGAACAACTCGCTTGTGTCTCTGTGTCTGACGCCAACACAGTCTTGGAAAACTTACAACTTTCTAGTGATTTTCCACTCATCAGACAATTCATCAGTGAACTCATTATCAGAAATATAAACAAACTCTTTGTGTGAAATATCAGTGAATGCTATATCACAAATCTCAGTGAACTCAAGACTGTACACAGACAATTCAAAGATTCAGTTTCAGTGAACTCATTTTATCCAGTTATCAGACAAACTCTCGTATCATTGTTTTTGCTTGTTACTTTTATTTTAATAATTAATAAATCATTAATTGTTTGGTTAAATAGTGTCAGTCAATTCATTTACAACCGTTTAACAGTCTTGACTGTTCTAGCATCCAAAAAAACCTCAAAGATACAGTCCATTCAATTTCTGATTACCGTCCACCTGTAATCTCGTTTCTATCCGTTTACACTAGTTCAGCGAAGTCAGAACAATGGTATTTAATTAGTAATCGTAAACTCACCCATTGACAACCTATTGATTTCTTTAGTATAGGCCACTTATTAAAAATATCAGTATCATTTAGAAATTTTTTCGATATAATGTTAGTAACTCTGGTATCATACGATGAATCCCAATCAACTAAAACCTCATTCCTATCTCTATTATTTACTAGCCAGTCTTCACTACTTTTAAGTCATTCTAAATGCTTGTTTCTTTGTGGCTTTTTGTAAAGTTACAAAGTTTTTCTCCTGTTTTTTCCCTAAAGCATCAATTAATGCTAGTGTATTTCGATATTTGTCAACTAATTTGCCCTTGGATATTTCAGACTTGTTCTGCCTGAACTAGATTTTAAAACGGGACAAACGTGATGTAATTGTTTGATGTCAGTCGTGAAAATACTAACCATTTTTGAAGCTAATTCGTCAAAATCTTCATTTTCAAGTTCTCTGTACAAAATAAAAGAACAATTTACATATGTAATAAATTCATTATGTCATATAACGTTTAAAAAGTCAATAGTAATGAAAAGTATGTGTTGACAAGAGGTCAACCTTGCATTAGCCTACCCGTTTAAGGATAGGTTAGTTAAATGATTGTTCCAGAATAGAGCTTATTAGGTAGTCAGGTTTACACAAAATATATAATCTTTATTTTAGCACTAACAATAAACAATATACACTGTACAAATTGATATTTTACTGAATAAATGGATGAATGTCTCTAGAAATAACTGAATGTCAATTGTAATCACTGAATTTTTTCTTGAATGTCTAAAAAACAACTTGATTTAGTGTGTTCGGTATTATTGACCTCCCAGACGAGCTGAACACGCTTCTCAAGTCAAGCAAGATCATGATTATGTACGTGGCGTTAGTCTATCATGCAATACAAAATGAATTATAACCATTTAATTTCGTGTAAATTTTTAATGGTTTTATAAATATAATAATATTAGACAGTTAAGCAAAAAAGATTTATTACTAACAAATAAATCTTTATTTGTATCAAATAAATGATGTAAAATAATTTTAATGAATTCATTAAGTCCCACCAAATATATTCTTCTGTCAGTGCACATAAATGATATTTTTCTTATTATAACAAATTTAAATGTGGAGCCATTATATGATAATCATGATATTTTATTTTTATAGCATTCATCCAAGTTCTCAGCCACCTGGGCCCCAAACACCGATTGGAAATAATACTGGATCATTACCCGATTTAAGTAATGTTCATTACTCATCACCACTCCCTGTTCCTTTAGATCACGAAGATCATTCAAGTAGTACGCAGTACACCAATGTGAGTATGAAAGATTTTATTTTAAACTTGTGTAAAAAAATTGAAAATTGTCTAATTTTTTTCAAACCTTTTAAGCTTTCACCTTCATACTTTAATTTTATCGGCATTATTTGTACGTTAATTGCAAATTAATCCTATAGTTTTATCCACTAGCATAAGACAAAAATTCAATTCATTAACCACCAAATTTCGTTGTTACGTTTAAGTCCATCACTTGAAATAAATCTTATGTGTGATCATTTTGAATTATATGAATTTATAATATATTAAATTATGAAGATTTTGATCAACTGCCTTTAAACATATACCTGCCTTTATACATATTGTATATTAACTGGCAGATTCCCGTGAGTTCGTCCGCGTAATGTGTATAATCACGTTGCATAATAATGGATTGATCGAGAATGTGTTAAATAGTAATTTTATAGTATATATAAACTTTTTTTAATACGCATTACAGTGTAATAGTATTAAAAAAGGAGCGAAAAAATCGTCGTTATTGGCTATAAAAAATGTGCAAACGCTTTTGTACAATTAAATTTCTGCCCCTTAACAATGCTTGTATTCGGGACAACTCAACACTCAGCATTTGATGAGTCAACACATTTAGTCCGAACACAACCATAGTAAACACATAGAAATCAGAGTGATGACTGTTAGGGCATCACAATTCAAATGAATAAAAATTAACTTGATAGTATGTTCAAATTTATTATTGTTTCTTATTTACTTAATTATTAATAATAATTAAAAACATATACTTATTAGATAGTTGACAATAACAACTATTAACCTATAGTAAATTAGGAATAAATCTGTAATTGCACAACCTAAAATTCACAATATAAACTTAGTTAAATTCAACAAACAATTGAACAATTAAAAAACGTCAATAAAAGTTGGATTTTTAATTTTACAATGGAATTTGTTAAATATTGCCACAATGAGGTGACTGATGACTCCATATATGTAGTTATAACTACAAGGAGAAAAATAGTAAGGCTCGTAATGGTTTCTTAAGCGAGTAAAAATGATAATGTTGATTTTACATCAAATATTATGAATTGTAATTGTCTTTAAAGGATTGTTGATATTATTATGAAGTTATAAAACCTTTACAAATAACATAGAATTTAAGAATTAATAAATTAAAAACTTACTGGTGTCAGATCGGAATATTCGTTGACAATACTATTTCCAACAATACTAGAAATGTTCAATATTAAAAACCAGTGAATATTTTTGTTATTAATTTATTAAGGGAACAACAACGGGTGAAGGCGGGATAGCTGTACTTCTGGTCTTCAGGAAGAAAAAAGAATTCGAAAATTAATAAATAAAGAACTTACTGATGTAAAATCAAAATATTTATTTATATTTAAAAGCAATGCTGTTGTTAACAATGCTATTAAATTTTAATGTTTCAAATGAATTAATTTTCTTGTTGTTAATTAATGAAGGGAACAACAATGCGTACAGACAGAAGAGCTGTTAACAATTCTGTTGTTAACAATACTGCTCATTTTCAATATTTTAAAAACAAAATGAAGTTGTCGGAGTAGTCATAAAGTCATCAGTCACTTTTTTTTGATGATATAAAACAAATTCTACTGTGAAATTGAAAATCTAACGCTTATTGACATTAAATACGTGAAAATTATTTTCATTATTTAATTAATATTCAACCATTTTTTTTACTAATATTTAACCCTGAAATGCATTAGGACACATAAAAATTATTTCCATCATTTAACCAGGATTTCACCGTTCATATTCGGTTTAAAACCAGAGTAATTTTTTCTTCTTTAATTCGTTTTTAACTATAAAAAACTGTTGAATTTCGAGTCGATTTTCTAACCAGTATTTAGGTTTTCCTGTCTCTTACTTCAAGTAATTAATTTAATTTTTTTATAATTACTGATACTGTAATGAATCGAAGTTAACGCACAATATCAATTCAAAAATGTAATTTGTATAAAATATTTATTGTTTATTACAATATTTGTTACCGTTGAATTTAATAGTTTTATGTTTTAAACAGTTTCAACATTTAAAAAATTTAAAATTCGCGCCTATTACTACCCAACAGTGGTGTTCAGGCGAAACTAATCACATACATCCAATCATCACAAATATGATGAATTCCGCCATTTGTGATGCCTATGTTGACTTGTGTTAAGTTGTCCCGAGTACAAGCAATAACTTAGCTGTTATAAACAGAAAGAGGTTACTTCTATTCATTTTATACGTGTAGTTACTTTTCTTTGGGTAGAAGTAAAAATTTCTCGTTACAAGAACTTAAATATATCGAATAGATTCCGCTTATTATTGTTTATAATAAACTCAATTGTTATATACAATTTACATCATAAAAAAGTATCCTATAACCTTTCCCTGAGATTACCTTGAACAGACAGACAGACATTAGAAATTTATATAGTAGTATAAATTTTGCAAACATGTACAGAGCATTGTGAGAAAGGTTATGGGCTACTTTTTATTTATGTAAATTGTTTATAACAATTGAATTTGTTTAATAAATCTATTCAATCTATTCAATATATTAGAACTCTTTCAACGGAAAATTTTTTCTTTTGCTGAAATTAAGTTACAAACCATTTTCAATATATATACAAGCAAATACTTTTTGGATTTATTCCAGAGTCCTCAAACGGGCAGTCCTACCACCTTATCGCTGATCAGCTTGGCGCAAGCTGGACGATTATCCATACCACAGGAACACAGCCCATCAGAAACCCAAGTAATTATCCTTTACCTTATTGGAGTTTATTGATAATCATAGTTTTAATATCATAAATATATGAAAAATACCAAACGGTTATTTATTACGACAATCGTGGGCTCCGACTATAAATTCGCTTTTCTGTATAAAATGCAAACTGCTGTAAATTATATCATATATTTCTATTACAATATTCTTAATCACACTGTTTAATGTTAGATTGGTCGTATTTTACAATATTATTTTTATTTAATTTTTTCAATTAACTCTTTCAAACAATAGTCTATAAACTGAATAAAATAACCCTGACAGTTTCAGGAAAACTGAGGAAAAAATGTAAAATCACTGGAAAAATGTTGAAATGATAAAATATTTTTACGGTAAATTCATGCAAATTTTTATCAGATTTTTCAAAAGAATATATAGTAACACGTTTTTTTTACTGAAAAAATCTAAAATTTCGTAGGTAAAAAAAATTTGATACTTAGGAAAAGTTGACTCTTCTGCAGAAGTGGCTTTGAGTGAAATTATAACAATCACATTTTATTGCTGTTAATGACAAATAAGTAACATTAATAAACTTATTTTAAAAAACCTAATAGTGCTAATAAATTTGTACGATACAAATGCGTTCGAGTTTTATTTAACTATTTTAAATATATATATTTTGCTGATGAGTAGATGATGAATAATATTTATTTTCTTATGAAATTCTATTTGTGACACATGATTAGATACAAATTTATATAAACATATATAATTGTATAGAGCTCAATACAACGTATTCCATATCATTGTATATCATAATATAAAGCTGAATATAATCGTACATAACTGTATAACTTTCTATAGAATCGTATATAACGTTCAAAAGAAGTTTTATAGCATTTTATCCAATTGTAGATAGTTATATAAGAGTGTATGTTTTGGTATAAGATTTTATACAATCTGTGAAATATGATTGTATACAATTCTCTATAACTGTATAAAATTCTATAAAAATTCTGTATATAACCCTTTGAGTCACAGTGGTACTGCCAGAGCACCACCTATTTAAACCGCAGTCAAAAATGTTCTACTGCATATTTTGGTCTGGATATTTGTACACGAGGGTTTTCAAGTTCGTAGATCACAAAACCAAAGTTATATTTGCAAAATTCACAATGGTGGATCCGAGATGGCGGAAAAATGTGTGAAATTGAACTAATCATTTCGACAAACCAATCAAACTTTATTCTACTGCATATTTTAGTCTAAATATTTGTATTCGGGGGTTTTCAGGCCCGTTGATTACAAAACTACTATTAGCTTTGAAAAATTCAACGTAAATACAATATGGGTTTTCGGAATCACGAATCTAAGGTTAAATTTAAAAAAATGAAAATGGCAGAAAATTATGTCTGATCCGTTGGTCTAAACGATTCAATTGCACAAAATTTAGGCCGCTATCTTGGATTCGTCATCTTGAATTTTGTAAATCTAAGCTCATATTTATAATCAGCGACCCCAAAAATAACTGAGTACAAAGTTTCAGGTCAAAATATGCAGTAGAAAAAAGCATAACTCAAAGGGATAATTGCATTAAATTTTACAAAATTCCATACATTTCTATTCAATGATTTTTTATCGGGTTTTTCACGGATAAAGTTTTATACAGTACAATCTCCTATCTGTTGCTCTCTCTTATTTGATTCTCTCGCTCCTGTTACTAGGAAAATTTCCCATCTGTGAATTGTCCTTATCCCTTCTTAATTTTTCCTGGGCTATTAAAAATTACGTGGCGTATTTTTTTAAACTGCTCATAATTTCATATTTATATGCGCAAAGCTACCTTAAGCTAGCTTAAGATGCTAACTTATAAACATGCAGTTACAACAAAACCATGCTAGCCTGCCTGTTGTGCCACAAACTAACAGGTTTTGGACATGGGCGATTATTAATAGGGATTTTATTGTAAATTGATAATTAATGAGTAATTAACTTTCTCATAATTAAACAATAAGAAGACAATGATCAGGTGCCAGGCAGAATCAATTCGCCAAAAATTTACAATAAATGTACAATCAATTTTATACTGAGATGTACCTTGGCTTTATTAAATAAAAAAATTATATTGAGACTCTCAGAGTGCGGGTACAATAATTAATAGACTTGATATAAATAATTATCATAATTCGACATCCGGTCGAGCTTACTGAAGTACCAAAATACTAATAATCGATATATATCAATCTTTGGCAATTAATTATACTTTTAATAATAAAATTCAATTAATAATTAAGAATTTAGCATACAAAGTTTTTCTCTAGCCGTCTCGAACGTGCTAGAAGGTTTAAGGCGCATAACACACTTACTCGCATAACCCATGCGGTGTGAAAACTCCACAATGCGCACACACACTAATAATAGACGAGCAATAAAATTGACTTGTATGATACAGTGTAAAATAAAAATTAGGCGAAGCCAGCACAGAAAAACTTAGCTTACGATATCCCACGTTGGGTCGACCGAGCTGGAGAGATCTGCTTGGCTTCCGCGATGACAAGATGGCTGCTGTACAACTGTTAGCTGCCGTTGAACTCTGTAGTCCTTGATTTGGAGCACCACTCAGCTCCCACTCAGACTGCCAGAGGATACAATTGAAGACCACACGTCTTCGGACAATAATAAGGCGACAGATCCCGTCAGATGAATCAGCTGGTAATGTCGAGCAAATGGCTATGGCTGATTATTCTACCCAAACGGCGCGAATAACATCAGCTGACACTGTCACAGCACTGCTGACCGACTAACTTCTGCTCGTGTAGTCTAGTGATTGACTGACTCGCATCGGCGATCATATACCTACTGTGATCCCGATAAGTGGCGAATAAAATCTATTGATTGACGTGATTGTTTTAACTTCCCAGTGGGAAGTTATAGTAATGGGTCCGATTTTGCGAATCCCGAATTTTGACATATCTCCACGTTTTAAGGTCTCCAGAGCCGAATACGATCGTTTTCCAGTGGACGTCTGTGTGTGTATGTACGTATGTGCGTTTGGAGTTATTTTTCGCCTCGATTATCTCGAGAATAAAAAATGATATCGATGTGGGACCAATTGCATTCAACGCGTAATTGCGTAACTTAGAACTGATTGGATTGTTAGCGAAATCGGTCCAGCCATTTTTTTGCAGAACCAAAAAACTAGCAAAAATAGAAAATGACCTGAATTTCTCAATTTATAAATTATACCATTTTTTAGACGGAATCTAGAGTAGCGGTAGATACTCGGCGCCATGTCACCTGCATAAATTATACCATTTTTTAGACGGAATTTCGAAATCTTTAAAAAAATATGAATATTAAATGATTAGAATACTTGGATGAAAATATGATGACAATATTTCATCGAAAAAAACAATTTTAAAAAACAAAATCAGCAATGAAAGAACTTTAAACTCGTGACAGGATTGAGAAAACAGCATTAAAGGCGCTATAATAGTCAATAATATGGAATTGTGTTCAAACAATTGAACATTATTACTAACAAGTGATTATTGATCATAGGAATATTTAAATAATAAGTTTTAAATTGTTATAAACAATGAAAAAAGGGACCCTTTCTATATATATAAGTACTTTTAACGCATAATTTTTTCTTTTACAAAAAAAATGTTACCAACCGTATGACATAAATGAAAACATACTTTTTTCGTGTATAACAATGAAATTTGTTGTAAATAATGAAAAAAAGGATCTATGAGGTATATTCGAATTCTTTCAACGCACAATTTTTTTTTTTACTGAAATAAAGTAACTAACCATATCAAATGAATAAAAACAGACTCATTTCGTTTATAACAATTCCATTTGTTATAAAGAATGGAAACGGGTTCTATTCGAATTGTTTTTTCATTTTTTCCACTGGGAAGTTGGTCGTGTGGACCTTTCGGGTCACACCCAGACCACTGCAGAGCACTGATATTTAGTAAAATTAATTGCAATTTTTCACGCTTACAGCGTTCTTGTAGCTCACGTTCAAGGCTACGAAATTCGAAATAAATCATTAATGAATTATTTAATTATTTAATGTGAGGGATTTTTCGATGTCGAAAATCACCTCGTTACAAGGTGAAAAGCTTGTGATAAACCATTTTTTTATCAAAGTACAGGTCAACCAAGCATTAGTTTAATGACTATAAATGACGGGTAAACTGTGCACTTTTTTAAAACATCGAAGCATTGCAGATTTATCACTTATATATAAATGTAATTTGTGGGTGCTCGAAGAATTTGTACATAGCATTACAGTTATTCGATTCTTTGGAACTTTTCGACCTTCAGCTCTTTGTATACTTCGTAAAACCAGATTTTTTTGGTAAAACTTTGTAATATAATGTAGTTTTGTCGCAGTTACATATACAATCTAACTCCCATGACTCTTTTAATATGATTTAACTTTGACTTAAATGTTTCACTTCTTTCCAGATCAGCTGATGCTTTCTCACCATGAATACTTCTCTGTATTCATGAAGTCTATGTTTTTTTTAATTTATCAATCCAACTATCATTCGCACTGGAGTTTTCTTTACTCTCAAGTTGTTGATTTTAGTAAATTGCCTTTGTCTTCAAAATGTGTCCAGAAACTGGTAAATTCATAGAACGACATTATTAAAACCATTCGACAAGTTTTTTTCTCTTCTATACCCGTGTATCTCCTTTTCTTGAAATTGCCATCACATTTTTCTAAAACTATTTTAGTTTCTAAAATATCTGCTTTCTGTCTTTTATTAATGGAAATCGCCTGCTTCGTAATATTCTATTTAATTGCTAATTTATCTCGTGATTCTCTGGATTCTATTCCTTGCAAAATTTTATATCGATTATCAATAATTAAATTCTTCTTTTCTCCTGAAAATTCATTTTATTTTTATATACTACACTATTTTAAAAAAGTGAAAAAAGCATATAATGTAATATGCATCTGCTTGAATGGAAACACTTTGATATAAGTGTTTCTATGTATCAAATATTACTCGATATTATAATCACATTATTAGGATTTTCTGAGTTATCCATTGACTTTACTTTACTTTTTTCCCCACTAATTGAATAAATTTTTTCACATTAATTAGAACTTGTTATGTGCAAAGATATTTATTATTATTAAATTGAAAAATTAATAGCTGGGTACACAGAGAAAATGTTTTTACTAAATGTAAGTGAGAATTTTGAGTTACAGTAGAAACTCGATTATCCGGCTCTCAGTTATACGGATTCGCGATTATCCGGACTACCGACTCATTATATTAAAATTACCTACAAGTCGAATTTATGCAAGCATGAACGTGTCGGAACTGGCATTACCCCGCACGCGCCCCGTGCGATCGCTGCCCTGCGCGATTCGTTATTGTTTTCATTAGCTAGCTGTGTTCCTCCGATCTGACGTGTGTCACGTCTATATATTTAAAAATGTCTATATATTTTAAACTGTAAGTCATTACCTTCAAAATCTTTAGCTTCTAAGCGAGAGAATTCAGCTCCAGAATATAAAACTAGCAAAGAGCGAGTAACGAGTGTTGTCACATGGTTGTAAATACGTGGGATTTAATTGAAAGGAAGACGTTGAACAAAGCTTGGAACAGAGTACTTAATCGTGAGAATAAAAATTCAATAACTAATTCGGATGATTCTATTTTGGAGGAAATTAATGACTTAATGTTGAATAAACAAATATGCAAGAATTGTGATGATGGTGATATAAAAGAGTGGGTCACTTGTGACAGTAATGATCAAGGCTTTCAAATTATGTCGGATGACGAAATCGTAGAAAACATATTGCAGAGAAATGAACAGCAGGAAATGGAAGAAGATGAAACATAAGAAAATCTAGGTGTAGAAAATGATGCTTGATCATCTCATGATGAAGCACTTCATGCCTTGGAAACAGCTCTCAAGTAGTTTGAAAAACAAACTGAGAGTGATACTGTAGGTTTACTACAGCTGAAAAGAATTCGTGATATAGCAGCAATAAAGAGAAAAAGTGGCTTACGTGAAATGACAATTACCAAATATTTCAAACCATATTAACCTTATTATTTTATTTCATTATTACCAAATATGTACACATTGTAAGCGTTTGTACATAATTATACGTTCGCACATTCGTACCTAAATATTTTATTTTATGATTAAGACTGCAGTATTTTAGTATGTACGTACATGTATGTATGTAATCTAAGAAGATGTTTCTCCTAATAATGACTAAGAAACGTTTTAAATATCAAGTATAGTTAGAAGAACTTAAAATTTATTGTTAAATAGAAATATTTTTACTTTTCAAATTCGCAACGTGTACTTGCCATTTTTGTACATACATTTAGTGAAAAAATTCTCTCCGTGTAGTGGCCAAAAGGCTAAACGAGGGATCTGAGACTACTAAGGCTCTTCTCTTCTGATATGTAATACTAGAAGAATTTGTTATTCAAAAGAATTGTCGCAATGAAGTATCTTATGAGAACTCACGCCTCAGTTAATGAAATTTATGCGATGAAGTAATTTATTATTATACTTACCGCTGAGTTTGGACAAAGGTAGATAGAGGTGCTTCCTCAAGAGAATTTCGACGTACTAAATATTTTAGTCGTTCACTTCACTTTACTTAAAAATGAATTAAAAGTTCAGTAAATTACAACTAATAACAGTAATAAAACTCTCGAAGTGATTCATTTATTTTTAAAACCATGTGTGTTTCACATATGATCCATATACGGCTAATTCCCCATATGCGATCATATAAGAAAATTTTTTCCTGGGAGGTCTGAGTTAACAGACACTTCGTTAGGATAACTAAGGAAAATCTTAGTAAAATTCTTAATTTACTATCGCGTTGTGGTCAGCGAGCGCGGAACAATCGAGCCTGCGTTTTACCGTCCAGTTTGCTGATTAACCGAAGAGTGATGTTTTTTGACGGTTTTTATAGCAGATAATTTGCCTATGGATTGGAGAAATTATAAGAAAATTTAGGACAATAGTTTTAGTAAATTGGAAAATTCTTGCGAAATGCTGAGTGGTGCTAAATAAGCTTTGGTGACTCTAGATCCTTCGGTCACGATTTCTCCATTTGTAATATTTTAAAAATATTGGTTACGAAGTGGGGAACAATCCCAAAAGTACCAGATTTGAAAGGTCCTGGCTCGTTGGGGTAACAGAAGGGAATTTGTACTGTACTTTATTCTCGACGCAGAGAATTTACTTTTATTTCCCCGAATCTCCATAGTACTTCGATACATGATCTTTTCGTCAAGTTAGTTATCCATTTTCTTTCAATGAATTAATTGAAAATGAAATAAGTTGTTAAAAAATGCATAAATTTTAACCTGATATTGGAAGATCAATGACATCCGATATATGATAGAAAAGTTTGTTTTCATCGTATAAATAGTATTTTGTTACGAATACATAGAAATTATTCTGCGTGTTAAAGGATTTCATAAATAAATGTCTAATAATATTTATACATGAATGTTCCAAATGTTTTTTTAGTTCTCAGTTATGATGTATTAGAATCTTTATATGATGTCTTATGATAAACCAATGATTTTTTGATCCGACTGCATGAGTAAAATAACAAATAATTTTTTTTCAATGGTAGTAACTATCGTTATAGGTAGTCTACTATTAGCTTTTTCTTCTTATGCCATTTAAATTTTTATTAATTATTAATTCTTTAAAAACTTTTATACGTTAAAATTTATCAGAAAAGTAAAAAAAGTGTGTTTTATGTTAATGTCAAAGTTGATAGTTAAAAAAAATGCTATTTACTTTAATGATTTTTTCATAAAATTAATTATTATAAGTAACAAAATATTTATTTTGCCATATTCAAATATGTGATTTCTTAACTATAACTAAATCTTCATTTATCGAAGGAACCTTTTTTCTCAGTGTACCTGTTTACAGTCTTATACAAATACCTTCTTTTTCTTTGCATAACAAAGAATATGTTGCTGTCTTCTATTATGGAAAAGAATATTATAGCTTTCACTTGAGTATTTGTGATCCTCACCTTTGGTTTGGGTCACAATTTGAATCTATAGATATGAGTGTCCAGTAAAGAGCTATGCAACAGTACATACTTGACTAACTACGAATTTATTATTGTAAATTTTACACATGATTATATTATAAATATTCTTCATATGACGGTTAACCGAATTTTGATTGAGTTTGAAGTGTATTTTTTCATCTCTACTATCTAAAAAAAACAGATATTAATTGAATCATGCTTAATAGATTGTTTGAGAATGATGAGTAACACCATATTTCCTTATGTGTGATATTACACGAATCTCAATATTCACTATAATATTATTATGAGAATCACTAAATATATAAAACACGCAATTAACACTTTCTTTCAAATGATAGAAAATGTAAAAAAAATTGATCTTTTTCTGCTTTGAAATATCTTTGATATTCTAAAACACAAGTGCTTTTTATATAATTTTGTGTAGCTGTAAAATTCAAATTTTTTGTTACATTTTTATTTTGCATTTTTTTTGTAGTGTTTCTTGTATTTGTTATTTTACAGAATCATTTATCAGTGCCTGTTAACTCTAGATTACTGCATACATGTAAGGTCAGTAAGAATTCGTTTTTTTTTTTGTTTTATTTTATATTGTAATCATACTTATCTCTTATATTACCTTATAATGAAAAAATAAATAGTATGGTCTTCAGTATATAATTAGTGCATTCGGAGTGAGACCACTTTTGTGGATTACAAGAAAAAGGAATAATAATTAAAAAATATCAATTAAGATCAAGCTGCATCTAATGAATATTTAATATTTAACACAGGGGGTGACGTTGGAAAACAGTACAAACATCTCTCAAAAGGATTTACAGCCATATGCACAACAAACGAGCCAACAATCGTCTTCGACAACTCACAGTCCAGGTCATCATTACATTTATCGACAACCACATAGTCCTGTACCGTCATCTCACAGTCCTGTAAGTATTTCAGATAATTCATTAAGCTACAATGATTTTTTTTAATCATTAAATTATTTTTACATAATACTATGGATAGTACATTGTGTATTAAAGGACCTAAGTGGCCTATTATTACCTCGTGCTGATGGCATCATGCCCGATGTGATAATAATTAGGTCCCGTGGTGTACACGGGACTTTATACATAACAGGTTGTGATAAAAATGACTTATTTTAATCGTAGAGAGGGATCTAAGTGACCGATAAGCAACAAAGAACTACTATACGGTTTTTAAAAACAAACAGACTTCGTAACTTGATGAATTGGAAAAGTTTAGGGGACAGGAGGTTTGTTTGGTATAATTACTCCGATATCCTTATTAGAGGGTTTGAAAACATCTATAGTTTCAGGACAATATCTAGTTCATAAATCAATGAATAATAAACTTTAAGAACCAACGTTTGTAAAAGATATATATTCCAGCAATGTTTTAAAGTGGTCTAAAAATCAATATAAATAAAATTAAAGTATCTGTCTGTGATTTTCGGAAAACTACCTCAAACTCAGTTCAAGGGATTTTTCACATGTTGTTAAAACATAAATGACTATTTTTAGAATGTTTGTCTGTCTGTCTTTCGGGGGTAATCTCGGGAATAGCTTTATTGATTTTGACGAAATTTTACAAACATGAAGAGAAAAATGTCAGAAATAGCATAGGCTACTTTTTATGTATGTTAATTGTTGTAAACAATTGAAAACGGAATATGTGCAATATATTTGAGTTTTTTCGACGGAATATTTTTTCCTTTCCCGTAAAAATGGGATTTTTGTCAATAATCAAAATAAAGATCGATGCAATGAATTTGAGCTCTTTTAACAGGATATTTTTTTTCTGAAAGTCAGCTACTAACCATGTAACATGAATAGGAACGGGCTCTTCTTGTTAATAACAAATGTATCTGTTGTAAACAAATAGAAATTAAACCTTATGGTGAACGTCAAATTTTTTTCCATCTATTATTAACCCTGTGTAAACAATCCTATTGAGAGATTAAAGTTCAATAAGAAAATTGCATCGAAAATTTTCTATTGAACCCTATTGGACGTTTTTATGCCTATAGAAATCTTCTCAATTCCATTCAATTGTACCATGAAGGTGTGCTAATTCCTTTTCGATTTCCCGATAGGATTTGATATTATTCAATGGGAACATTATTGTCTCAGAATTTCCTATAGAATCAATAGAACTGAATGTAATTTACTACGATTTTTAGATGTAACAGATTCCTATATACGAATAAACTCCTGGTAAATATACTCCTGAAATGAAATTTATTAGAAACTTTGTTCGAAAAAATCCTGTTTATGGCGAGATTCGATCCTGGCATCCTCGTATTTACAATCCAGTACGCTGCCAATTACGCTATTCTAGAACATGAAAACATGACTTTTGCTTAAAATAGTCCAGCCGGGCTTTGAATAGTAAAATCAGCAAGCAAATCAAAATTTAAATAATGAAATTTTTTTCCTTTTGAAATTAAAAAAAAAACTTTAATAATTTTAGTGCAAAATAAATATAGTTAATAAATTGTTCAAAAAATTTTATTATGCGCTGACTAGAAACGTTCGGGTAAATTCGGGAAGAGCTCAGAGAAGAGAGACTAGTATAGAAGTTCAATTCAAATGGACGGTTAAAAGCTAAGTTGAAAACTCGTCGAAAAGGCAGGAGATGGCGTTGCTACGAAAAGCAGCGCTCAAGACTGCGTCGAGGCGGAGCAAAACTAAACACATCAATGGTGGGGGAGGAACAGCACAAATGGTAGGATTTTAAAACGAACTCAATGCTTTTCAATATATTAGATTAGAAAAATAAAAACAACCGAAGAAAAATTAAATCGAATCTATGGATTTAATCTAAAATAATCGCGAAAGCTAACGAACTATTATTAACCGACGAAGTTGAGACTGATTCAACCAAATTATGTGAACTATTTTCTAAATTATGAGTTTCTAAATTATTATTGTCATTTTTATTTTTTACACACAGTTTTACACACAAACAATATTATTATTATTATTATTATTATTAATAGTAATTAAGTTTCTTATCTCTAATGCTAGAAATCCTCCATTAGTACCCTCTTCGATACAAATGGCATATTGAGTTCTCCTTCCAGCTCGAGTTTGCCTACGACTTGGTCTCTTTGGATTTTTTTAAATATTTGGTGATAGAATCAGTCATTACAACAACATTGCATACAAATGAATGGAATTCAGAACTTAGTTCACTTCAACCAACATGTGAAAATGTCATAGTCGATACAGAAACAACTGGTTTTGGATCTGAAGCTGAAATTCTGCAAATTGGTGCACTATGTGACTCGCAACGATTTGAAGCTCACATCGTGCTTCTGAAAAAATTGAATTAACCCTCGTCAAGGAATGTCTTTTGTATTATGGAAAACTAGTTACAATTGTTTCTAGTGACATTGCTGTTCATTAATTTTTAGATTTGTTACGTAACCTTCTCTCATAAGTTTTATTTACAAGGCAAAATGTTATTAAATTTGATGCTCCTTTAATTTTTAAATAATTGGCAGAACAACTTATTGCAAGATATGTGTTCAATATCACATGGATTTACAGACTCAATACCATTGTTTAAGTGTTCAAGTTAATTGAAAACCTAGAGTCACGACAAACAAAAAAATTATTAAAAATGCAGCAGCATCTATAAAGGAATTACTTGATAATGAAAATTAATTAATAAAAATAACTTATTATTTTTGAATCAAATTCAAAAAATTATATTAAGCATAATTTTTTAGTATCCTCACTTTGCCACGGTTTCATCTATATACACATTTAAATTACATCCCTACTCAAACTATCTTGTTGGAAAACAACTTTCAATGGTAAAAATGCATAAGACATTTCAATAGGAATAAGAACTTTTCGACAGGATTATAATATTTTCGATATAGTCCTTTCATTACTTATGTTTCCTACTTAACTTTTCATAGTATTAATGACATCTTAATGGGGGTTTTGAAATGTCAGAATTTTCTATAAAATAGAAGCGAAGCCTTTTCAATTCTGCAATAGGACTAAACAATATATAATGGGATTAAATTTATTTGATGGGAAATATTTTCTTGCTTCGATATGTCACAATAAGATTCGATATTGTTTGATAAATGTAATTCTGTCAAGATTTTGTAGGGAATAAGTTAATTGAAAAGGAAAATATAACTTAAATTATATATTTTCTCGTTTTAATATTTTTAATAGAATTTGCTGTTTTTTAATAGAACTAATTTATATATTATTTTTTTTATAATTTCTATGTATTTCTATAAGAAAGAAGCAGATTTTAAAAAATGAGACGACATAAAAAATATTTCTTTACTATTGGATATTCTAATACGATTTGATATTTTTTAATTAGCCTGATTTAGTCAAGTTCCTATAGGAAATAGACTGAAATAGAATGTATGACATAAAAAATATTTTCACATTACTAGAGGCTTTAATAAAAATTCGAACCTATGAAGGGGCTCAACTTTTTCATGTTTACATAAGGAGTAAATAAATTAAAAAACAAAATACGACTTAGTGGGTTTTAGTGACAATATTCCTCATTAGAATTCAATATTTTTTCACACGGAAGTCTTTATGGTATATAAAAATATTTAAGTAGTATTTTCCTGTAAAAAGAGTCTATTTCCTATTGAAACTCTCAGAATATCTTCCTATAGAAATGCATTGAATTCTATTGAAGAATACTTCAACTGAAGAAGAAAAACAAATGATCACTTTTCCAAAAAAAATTCTAATTTTCTGTTGAAATGGTTAAACTATTTCCAATAGGATACTGTAAAACCCTATGGAAAATTACAATGATAATAGACAAACTTCGATGTACTTTTCTCCTTTTCAAATTACTTATTTCCGATTAATTTTTTTCTTGTAGAATTGAAACAGATCCCATTGAAAAATATTTTTGGACGAAAAATTTTCAAAGTTTTATTTTCCTGTTCATTTATATTGTGAAATAAATCCAAATAATATCTACAGAAATTGATAAGTAATGAAAAAGTTTATTAAAAGATTGACAGCTATTAATTGATCAAAGAGAAGGCGGCCGGTCAACTCAAGTCTGAGTCGAAAAACTGGAGATAAACAAACTCTCCCGTCGTTGCTATAAACATTCTAATCGTCGAGCAACGTCAACAACTTATAAAACTGTCATTACTCAATAGTCATTAGATGGCAACATACAAATATTTTACACTTCTTCCGATCTTCTAAAAATAGCCATTCGGCGATTCCTATAAGTTGAATAAAGTATTGGATTAGACTGAAATTAAATACAGTTTAAGAGAAAATCTCAAACTAAATGGATTGAGATTTTAATTCAATATAATTTTAAAAATAACTAAAATGAAAAATACAACCTAGCTTCCGATACTGCCGCTTATCAACTCTGTCTGCTTTAAAATAAATTAAGTAAATAATTAGGAGGGAAAAATCCTGTGGCGGATAAAAACTTCTAAACAGACCAAGATGATCTAAATTAAACTGATAACGTTATTCTATATAATAAAAGATTCCTTGAAACCTATCGTCCGTCAGTCACATTAAAATTTTCATCTCCAACTCCTTTCCTTCTTTCTTTTTCATCAGGAGAAACCACTAGGAAGAACTATGAAAACCCAAAGAGTAAGGAATGCCAAGAACTGGAAGGTCATAGAACTAAACAAAATAAAAGTTCCTTACAGAATCAAAGTTATTTGAAAATTTCATTATTTTATCGTAAATTCATTGTTCAATTAATAATTAGGTTGAATGGTCACACTTCATGGAGTCAATTCTCCTAATAAATTCCGACTTCCCACTCACATTGAAGTTTTGGACATTTTCCTTTAACTCTTTTAGGGAAAAATAACCTAATCTTTTGACCGACATCAAAAGAAAGAACATTAGATTTTAAATCATACATACACATAATATTCATT